AGGCTCCAGCCCTCCCCCCAGGGCTGGCACCCACTCAAGAGAAGCTGTCACCTCCAAACCATCCACCTGCCTCCTGCAGCACCCCAAGGCAGAGGATTTCATCTCTCATCCCTGTCCCGAGTCCTGCAGGAAGCTCCGAGCGTCCGGCACGCTCCCTCCCTCCCCCAACCGCAGACCCCCGCTGCTGGTAGAAGCACCCCACGTCCCGCACAACCCCCTCCCGAGAGCGGGTACCTGGTTGCGGAGCTTGGTCCTCGGGTTTGGGGCGTAACCGATGAACCCCACTTTTTTCATGGTGCGCAAAATCTCGGGATCTACCGGAGGGGCTCGCGAAACGCGCCGCCAGTCAGAGGCCGCTCTGTTTGGCGTTTAACCAAGGCCTGGCTGGGTGCCCTCAGGGACCCCACCAGTGGGTCACGAGGGGTTCCCCCTCCCAAGTCGGTCCTTCCCCCAGGTTCATTTTCCATCTCACCAAACCGCCTGGACTGCGGCCGAACGCGGCGGCAGCGCTGAGCGCAGGCGTCTCTTAGGACAGGGCTCAGGCAGAGGGAAAACAAGAGTTTACACACAGGCGGAATGCAACCAGGATCCCACCGGGATCTCCCCGACCAGGGAGATGGGAGGTTTGGCCATACCCTACCACCTTCAGACCTGCCCCGTCACCGCACCTCAGCGGTTAAGCTCCACCGCGGGGAACTTATCTTGCATTTCACGGGGCACGTGAGGAGAAAGGGCAGTGCCAGCCATGAGATAGGGAGGCAGCAGAGCAACTGAGCCGCTCCCCAGACCCAGGGAAGGAGAGGAATTCTGCCAGGGACAGCGTCCCTGTGCTGCCTTTCCCTGGGAGAGACTGGCAAATTACCGGGGTGCCGGGGCAGAGTTGGCAGCTGGCCAGTCGGAGAGCAGGGAGTCGTTGGTCAGCGGCACGGGGATGAGGGAGAGCGGCACGAGGTCCTGGTTCCAGTCCAAGTGTGGCAGCGTGTCCACGAGGCAGGGCAAGGCAAAGTCGGTTTCCCGGGAGTAGGCGTTGAAGGTGACCTCCGGGGAGCCGCCCCAGAGGTGGACGCATCCCTCGGAGTCGCCGAAGGCCAGGGCCTGTTTGCTGGCCGAGACGTCGAAGGTCATGATGAGGGGCCCAACGGTGTTCACGTGGAAGATGTCGGCGGGGTTGGCGAGGCCGGTGGGCTCGCAGAACTGGCACTGACCTGCGCAAGAGGGAAGCGCAGAGCGACGTGGCGCCGG